TTACAGTAAATGGCGTCTGTATACGTTGCACAGGAGTGTGTGTGTGTGTGTGTACGTCACGCTGTCATGGCCGAGCTCTCTGGAAATCGGTGTGTTATGCCTCGTTGCTTTTAGTAAATAAGAGAAATCTGAGAATTTGTTGCTATTGTGTTGTTGTTCGGATCTTTTCTTTTTATTGAGCAATTCTATGTACGGTATTTCTTTTTCTTTTGTAAATATACATTGACGTAGATTACACGCTGGAAATCAGCCTATAAATATGTCATTCTACTCAAAACACAAGCCATTATATATAATGCATTATTAACATGCATTGTTTACTTAAAGAAACATTAAGAAAATGTCCTTTTTTTTGTCCAAATGTTGTTTTCATTGCATTTACACGCACAGTATTTGATTATGCTTTTTCTGTGACATGTTTAAATTTTTTTTTTTTAATAAAATATATACAGATCACTCTAAAAAATGCTTTCAGGGTCAAATAAATAAAACAAATGATACAACACACTCTGTGTGTGTGTGTGTGTGTGTGTGTGTGTGTGTGTGTGTGTGTGTGTGTGTGTGTGTGTGTGTGTGTGTGTGTGTGTGTGTGTGTGTGTGTGTGTGTGTGTGTGTGTGTGTGTGTGTGTGTGTGTGTGTGTGTGTGTGTGTTTTGGTCAAATATGGACAAAATGTAATAAAAAAAAATAACCTAAAGGCTTGGATTTGTCCACATGACCCAAACATGGGTTAAAACAATGCAGCATTTTTTTTGAATGATAAAACAGACACACACACATATATATACACTCACCGGCCACTTTATTAGGTACACCTGTCCAACTGCTCGTTAACACTTAATTTCTAAGCAGCCAATCACATGGCGGCAACTCAGTGCATTTAGGCATGTAGACATGGTCAAGACAATCTCCTGCAGTTCAAACCGAGCATCAGTATGGGGAAGAAAGGTGATTTGAGTGACTTTGAACGTGGCATGATTGTTGGTGCCAGAAGGGCTGGTCTGAGTATTTTAGAAACTGCTAATCTACTGGGATTTTCACGCACAACCATCTCTAGGGTTTACAGAGAATGGTCCGAAAAAGAAAAAACATCCAGTGAGCGGCAGTTCTGTGGGCGGAAATGCCTTGTTGATGCCAGAGGTCAGAGGAGAATGGCCAGACTGGTTCGAGCTGATAGAAGGGCAACAGTGACTGAAATAACCACTCGTTACAACCGAGGTATGCAGCAAAGCATTTGTGAAGCCACAACACGCACAACCTTGAGGCGGATGGGCTACAACAGCAGAAGACTCCACCGGGTACCACTCATCTCCACTACAAATAGGAAAAAGAGGCTACAATTTGCAAGAGCTCACCAAAATTGAACAGTTGAAGACTGGAAAAATGTTGCCTGGTCTGATGAGTCTCGATTTCTGTTGAGACATTCAGATGTTAGAGTCAGAATTTGGCGTAAACAGAATGAGAACATGGAACCATCATGCCTTGTTACCACTGTGCAGGCTGGTGGTGGTGGTGTAATGGTGTGGGGGATGTTTTCCTGGCACACTTTAGGCCCCTTAGTGCCAATTGGGCATCGTTTAAATGCCACGGCCTACCTGAGCATTGTTTCTGACCATGTCCATCCCTTTATGGCCACCATGTACCCATCCTCTGATGGCTACTTCCACCATGTCACAAAGCTCTAATCATTTCAAATTGGTTTCTTGAACATGACAATGAGTTCACTGTACTAAAATGGCCTCCACAGTCACCAGATCTCAACCCAATAGAGCATCTTTGGGATGTGGTGGAACGGGAGATTCGCATCATGGATGTGCAGCCGACAAATCTGCGGCAACTGTGTGATGCCATCATGTCAATATGGACCAAACTCCCTGAGGAATGCTTCCAGCACCTTGTTGAATCTATGCCACGAAGAATTGAGGCAGTTCTGAAGGCAAAAGGGGGTCCAACCCGTTACTAGCATGGGGTACCTAATAAAGTGGCCGGTGAGTGTATGTGTGTGTGTGTGTGTGTGTATTACTGTTCTCTATTTAATTTGACACAATTTGCCCAGAATTCCTGGTCAAAAAATTTGTTCAGAGACTTTCATGGGAAAGAATTTTGAACGTTGTAGTTTCGCATATTCCTTTTCATACAGTAAAAAATGCATCTTTTTATGTCAAATAACTGTGGTATTGTGGACTTAACTTTTTATTTAACTTTTAAATGATATAATTTTTTCATATATTTCATTAAATTTAAATTCATGGTTAATTTTTTTTTTTTCAAAGATTGTTCTATGGTATTATTAATATGGTTTACAGTAATATCAATAAAGCTGTTTTTGAATTGAATGTTGTGAATGTGTTCTGTCGGCCTGTTTTGTGGATCTCATCCCTGTCTCCGGGTTATTTCACCTGTGTGACCGCATCATGTTCATTCCACAAGTGTGGAGACAGCAGTGTGTGACACTCTTTAGTGTTGGTTATCAATTAACTGAGAGTTTGAAGGCATTCATCATGAGTATTGATCCCTAAATAATGCTCATCTCCGGTGCTCAGAGGAATAACTGAGAGAATTAGCAGCAGTTTTGTGCAGTGACACGAAAGGGGCCCTTCGATTGTCAGGGGCTTAAACGAAGAGGAGAAGGTCTTACCTTTATAAAGAGACACACAAATACACTTCCAGAGAAAAACTATTAACAAAAGAGATTGTCAGAATTAACCAAATAATGACTTCATGTGTGTTCCCAATCCTAATATGATATTGGAGTTTCACCAAGAGCCAATAGTTTGATATCTTACATTCTCTTCATTTTATTCTCACATTTTTTTTTTTTTTTTTATTCTTCAAGACAATTCAAATGTTGATTTTGTAATGTTATATGCCACAATTTAGGAATGTATTAGCACAAACTTCTCTGGCGTGTGTGTCTTGCGCAACTTTTGTATTGAAATGTTGAAGCGCGGAGATTCTGGAAACCTCGAGATTGGAGTTTAAATAAGACAGACACACTGGGGGAAAATAAATAAATTAGTACATTTATTTATTTAATTAAATTCGGACTACTTTGGTTCTGCGTAGAAAAATATTTATTTATCTCAAAATAAAATGTAATTATATGCTATTTTATAGGCCTACACACACACACACACACACACACACACACACACACATATATATATTACGGTTTGTATTCGAGGTTAAAGGCCTGTTGCATGTAAGACCCAAACCCATAAATGCAACAGGGTTTTTTTCTTTGGTAAAAATCGTAATTTTTTTTTTTTTTTTTACGGTCAAATTTATCAAAGTTATCATTTTTCTTCCTTTGATGGTCAGCTGTTATTTATTAGCCCCCTTATGCTTTCTTTCGAGATAAATATATAGCCTTAATAAAAAAAAAGTTATTCTGTCACTGAAGCCTCATTTTGCTCTGAATCAGTTTCGTTAAACTTTTGTTTTTAATAATTCATTAGGCTACTTCCTGATTAAGAGAAAGCATTTTAACTCGTCAAAACAAGTTTTTAAAAACAGATATTTTTAGAAGCAGTGAAGGTGAGTAATGTTGGAGTGTAAATAAAGTGCAGGGCATGTTTGGGAGAGTTTGTCCCCTCCCTCTGAGTCTGTCCGGACACCGGTTCCGTGAGGGGTTCCCAGTTCCTCAGTGAGAGAGTCCCTCAGGAGCACGTGTTGCTGGAGCTTCAGGAACATCTGCACTGTAAGTTTGAGATTATTTCATTTCTATTGGGACGCGATGAACACTTTATATCGTGTAGTATTGTTGGGCCCATGCAGGAACACATTGCATTAGTTCGTGATTTTAGGGGTTCTTCCTATTTTCCATTTGGGCTCGATGGCGCTGTTTTAGGCTTGTTTTATAAATAAATTGGTAGCACTTTCATTAACAAGTAGTTTTACATTAGTATGCATGAAATATATTTAATGGCGTATCATGAAACTTTAATATTTAGCCTATAATTAATAATATTTGGATTTGCATGTTGTAAGTAATGTTTTATCAATGACGTAATAATGAAAATTAATATTAAGAACCAATTATGTGTTGTAGTAGGACGAAAATATTACAGCATGTATGATATAAATGCATTTAAATTGGGAAATAATATAGGAGAAGCTAAATGCATTAAACCCCTCGGGTCTTTTTCTTAAAAATAGGATTTGTAGCAAGGAAATGATTCATGCATTCATTCAGAAATATATTTAAATACTTTATTTCTTTGTTCTGAACTGAAGTTCAGGCAAAATATACAAGAAAAAAAAAATCAACGACAAACTAGTACATTAAATGAGCGTGGCAACTAAAGGTGCAGAACTAAAAATCACATGTGGGTTCAAACTAAAGGGAAATAAACAATCACATTTCTTCTAAACGCCTGTTTGCACAGAGAGTTTCAATAATGGCTTCAGAATGTCAAATGAATGTGCAGGGATGTTATATTAAAAAACAAAAACATGAATGATCTGTCTTTGGTGATGAACATATACCTCCACAGTCAAAACTGTACTGTTATGTGTGTAAATATGGGACAGACCCAGAACAGTACTGACAATATATAAACTCATCCCACACACACACACACACACACACACACACACACACACGGTTCATTTAATCCAGTGCTTTAATTCAGTAGCTCAGCTCTGTCGTGTCGGACACAACACACACTCACAGACCTAACTCAGCAAACATTGCATATCGTTTATATTTGACCCACATCCAGGTTTACACAGCTAATAATAATAATAATATATCGTTTCATTGTCAGAACGCACACCTGAGTCGACCCTGATTTAAGATATTAAGGCGCATTCACAGTTTGGGACATTATATTTTAAATAAAAAAGGAACTAGTCGTACTAAACGAATAATATGTGCCATCCATCTAATAATAACAACAATATCCCACAGTAACAAGGGATAAAAAAACATTTTGAATAAATACAAAACCATCATTCACAAAGAAATACTATAAATAATACCTTTTTTTTTTTTAAGAAGAAGAAAAGAAAAACAAACACATACAGTTATTGCCTTTGGCATAACATCATACTACCATTACAAAAATGATCTTAAATAGACACAAAAGCTCAAATCCAGACAGACGCGCAGTCCTCACGCGAACGGAACGCTTGGCGAGGTTTTCTAGGAAAGTTGAGCGCGCAACGCTCAGCTCAGGAACGAATTGGGCGCGACGCGTTTGTGCTGAGACAGAAGTCCGCTGGAAAGTGGAGATGTGTAGGACGGTAAACTAGTTCTTAGGGAATCCGAGAGCAGGGAAGACGGAGAGCTGGAGATCCCGTATCCCGGCGCGCTCGGGAGCGACTGCGGCTGCTGCGCGCCCGGGACGAAATATCCATTGTGTCCTGAGAGTAATCCAGCAGCAGACGACGGAGACACGCCGTACCCGTTCGACAGGTTAATACTCCCGTTCCCGAGCGGCTCGACGCCGGGGAGTAACGATCCGTACGCGTGTCCTTGGTGGTTTAGAAATCCGTGCGTGGTTCCGTTATAGTGCGAGTGGTGTAAGGGTAAGAACGGAGACAGCTGCCAGTAAAGCGGGTTGCTCGGGCGTTCACCCAGCCCGAGTCCGAGAGGCGCGAATCGGAGCCCCCTTTTCATCACCAACTTTCCCCGCGAGGTCGCCGAGCGCCGCCGGAGCTTCCCGGTGGTTCCGCCGATAAACACATCATCACTGGAGGGGTCGAGCATCCAGTAGTTCCCTTTTCCCGGATCGTCGTAGTGTCTCGGCACCTTCACGAAGCACTTATTGAGGCTCAGATTGTGCCGGATGGAGTTCTGCCAGCCCTGCTTGTGTTCCCGGTAATACGGGAAGTTCTTCATGATGAACTCGTAGATGCCGTTGAGCGTGAGCCGCTTCTCGGGACTCTGTCGGATGGCCATCATGATGAGCGCGTTGTAGCTGAACGGAGGCTTGTCGAACTTCTTTCCCTTTTTGCACAGTTGCTCGGGTTCCTCCGCGTCGCGTTGCGCGGGGTCCATCTCGACCGCTTCTGGGGGATTGTCGGAGACCGGGCTTCGCTCCGCGCCATCGTCCGCACCCGGGCTGTCAAACTTCGATGGGAGTAACAGGCTTTTGATGCTGAACGATGTGGACTTCTGCACCATGGGGGGCTCACTGTGATCTCCCATGCCGGGCGATGAAGCGCGCCGTGAAAAGCCCCGTTTTCGTACTTTAAAACACAGGAGGTCAAGCGCGCAACGATGGGGACATCGCGTGCATGACAGAACTTCGCAGACTCGCGGAAATTGGTGATTAACCAGGGCTCACTCTTACTAACTACCTCATCGTATGAAAGGGAGGAGGAGCTCTTCACTTGCTGGTGCTGGACAGTCTCAGTCGAGCCCCGCTTACTCCATTATAATGCGCGGAGAGCCCCGTGCGCGCGGGAGTCTGGAGCGTCTCCTGTGCGTCACTGATCACGTAGCCTGGATAGGAGGGACGAGGAGTTGTTTTCACGTTGCCTGAAACGCACTGAAATAAAGTTTGAATGATTAAAAACTAAAGTGTTAGTGATGCTGAAACGCTCATGGTTCTCTCAGAATGCCTTGATAATAATAGGCTACTTAATGATACAATTTGAACCGGGAGGGTTCAAATTGCGGTTGTAATTAATATTACAGCCGTTAAGTATTCATAATAAACTGTCTGAGACAATAATATTGTGTGTGTATATGCATGATCGGTCCGGGGTTATTGATTATGACGCCACAGTGCTGTGCGTAAAAGCGCGCGGGCTACACGAGCACGAGCCAACGGCGCCTCTAGTGTCTGTACGGGTCACAACCCCACCGAACTCCTGCCACAGAACTGGACAAGTTCTGTTGACACTTTGAAGTACTCATATATGTCATTTTTATTAATAATAATGCCAGCGATAATCTGCAAGCCCTTGTGATTCAGTGCGCTAGTTTCAGTCCTCTCCATCATGAACGCCATAAACTGTATAAACGCTCGAACTGTTGTTTACTTGTTTATCGTTGGTCAGTTAGTCTGATATTTTGCACAGATTGGATTAGAATAATATTATATAGGTCTGTATCACAAATAGCTTTCATTTTTAAATTTTACATATAGTTTTCATTCTGAAATAAACACTTTCCCCCCGTTCCCCGCTTCTAACACTCCGCTCGCATTCACTGAAATTAAATGTATATCTCGTGTTAAATATTCTGTTTGGTTTCTGAACAATAAACGGGTTGTATTATTGTTTTGGCTATTTGAATATTTCATCTTCTGCTGTATCGATTCATAACTATTTTTTATAATAAATAAACTAGACTTGAGACTTGACTTGAAATGATTTGTATGAGATGTAAATTATTATTTTATTGAGACACAGAGCAGTAATACAGCTCTTTAATTTATAGCTATTATTAAAGAAACGTCGAATATGTATGAAACAAAAATGTTAAAATAATTAACCAAAGTTTTTAAGAAATGGTTAAATTCGAAAAAAGCAAAGCAAAGCAAACGAATAACTTTTCAATTTATTTTTATTTAATGTAGGCTATATAAATTCCCGCTTTTATGTGTACATAATACATTTTTATTTCCTATAATAAATAAATAAAAAATCATCAGTACAGTTATTGCGTCAGTTCGCAGTTGCAATTTTATAAGTAATAATAATATATATATATTTGTTGAATTTATTGAAACTATATTTTGCAGTGCAAACAATATATCATGTTGTGTTCTTATTACCGTCCATTGACTTTTTAATAATAATAATAATAATAAAGCTTTTTCGTGGTATAAATAGCAGTGTCACTTTAATGAATGCCTTAATATTTATAATAAATTCTTCTTATTATTATTATTATTGTAAAAAACGACGGGATGTCTCAATAATATTGTTTGATTAAATTACAGTTTATTTTTATTTTCAAAGTCAAATTATATATTTTATTTTCAACATTATGAAAGCATCACTAATCGTAATCGTCGAGTCTTTCACACCCGTTTCAGTCAGGTTTCATTTGTCTCTATTAGAGGTTTTCCTTTCCAATAATTACACACACAAAAAAAGAAATGTTTAATCAATTGTTTTTGACATCCGCATAAAATGGTATAAATTGGTCTATTTTCTATTTTCCTTTTTTGCGCGTAGATGTAATACAATCCATCGTGTAATAATGAGTTAAATGTGAATTGGCAAAAAAGAGGCACAAAAAAAACTGTTTGTATTTTTAACAATCAGTTTGTAGCAGGAACATCTTTACCTGCTTTGAAGAAGTGTGGCAAACTTAAAACCCATATTTTTAACAATATTATTTAAAGTTTTTACTGCAATTTTTTTTTTACTTTTACTGCAATATATTTTACTCCAGCACTGCAAAATGACTTCACAAAATAATATTAATTATTCATTACTATTTGAGGTCAAAAACAAGGATGCCATAATGAGTCATTTGCAGTGATTAATGGTTTCATATACAGGGATAGAGCAACACACTCCTCCAAACACACACACACACACACACACACACACACACACACACACACACAGTCCTGAAACCATGTGCCTAAACATTTAACCCTTCCTCATGGACATTTCTGTCTTTTTTTTTTTCTTTTTTCTTTTTTAAACCATTATCTCTGTTAATGCCAACTAAATACATTTTGGCACAAGATATTTATAAAAATATTAATATAATATAAATAAAATTGGAATTTTGCTATTTCACCCCCATTTCCTTTAATACATCTATTTTAGTAACACAAAATAGCTCCACTCAGGACCTTAAGGACAATCGTGTCCTCATTGAAACCCATTACAGTTTTTTCAAATTCCTTACACACACAATTTCTGAAACTGGCTCCATTTCTTGAAACTCTACACACAAAACCACGAAACACACACACACACACACACACACACACACAGACACACACACACACACACAACATGCAAAACATCAGACATCTCTCGCAAAAGCAACCAGTTCATTCAAAACTTTAACTTTCCAACAATTGTGTTTTTGTGTAGTAACACAAATATTAAATGATTAGCTATACACACCAAACTACACACTGTAAAACATTATCGTGATTTTAACGGTAAAAGACTGTAAAAATGCTACAGTGAAAAACTGTTAATTGGTTAACAGAAAGTTTCCTTACTACGGTAAATAACTGTGATAGATCTAACGGTACATTTAATGTAATTTTACTGTAAAATACCGTTAAATTTACAGTTTTTGAAAGTGAAAAGAACAACTCATTGTATAATTTACAGTGAAAACCCGTAAATTGACATTCCCACAATTCCCTGCATGACACTTCACATTTGATTTATTTTTGTTGAAATAACTGTTTCTTCTTAGTTTTCTTAGTTCTTTTCTTATCAGTTACCGGTATGTACATTAGGGTTTTATGTAATGTTGTTAAATTAATGTTTATTGCATTTTTTAAATTTCATGTGTGTTACCATGATGGTGTTTAATGTTTGTGCGAATAACACTGTGCAGCTTCTATATAACAGTATTAACTTTCTTGTGTAAGATTGCTTGTGATGAGCTTAGATTTATCATGTGACTCTCATCCCTGCTGTGATGATTGTTTGTTGTCAGTGTATTACAATGGTACAAAACAGATATCAATACTTCAATAGGTTGGTAAATTATCATTATATCAGATAATGAATTATGGGTTATTACTGTAAATTTTAAGTTAAGTCTGTAAACCAAAAACGTTGATACCGTATTTTTGACGGTAAAGTTCTGGTAACCACAGCTGCCAGTTTTTTTTCCGTAAAAACAACGGGATTTTTTTTACAGTGCACAGATGTGACAAATGTAAAACACTACCGTGTGTCTATTGCTGGTTCGTGTGCAGGAGTTCGTGTATATACAGTGTGTTTGCACAACTGATAGGTTTTATATAGTTATGGAACAGAACTGATCAACACTGAAGTGACGAGCTGATAATAATGACACTATTGGTGTGTTAGAGCAGAATATTAATTTATTACTATTGTGAATCTGCTGCGAAAAAATCTACAGGTGAAACTCGAAAAATTAGAGTATCGTGCAAAAGTTCATTTATTTCAGTAATTCAACTTAAAATGTGAAACTAATATATTATATAGACTCATTACATGCAAAGTGAGATATTTCAAGCCTTTATTTCTTATAATGGTGATGATTATGGCTTACAGCTTATGAAAACCCCAAAGTCAAAATTAGAATATTGTGTGTGTGTGTGTGTGTGTGTGTGTGTGTGTGTGTGTGTGTGTGTGTGTGTGTGTGTGTGTGTGTGTGTGTGTGTGTGTGTGTGTTGAAAGCGCTGCACGCTTACAGTTAAACGTATTTTTTCTTATGTTTATATCTTATGAACAGTTTGAACTGGTTCTTGGATTGATAAATGCATCTTTAGAGATGGAAAAACTTCTTGACATTCTTCAGTGTTTTAAGAGGTTCTCTTTTAACATAACTCTTTCATCTTGTGAATTTTTTATAAACGTATTTATTGCATTCTGATGACATTCAGAAGTCAGTGTCACCGGATTACTTACATTTGATTACAGTAAAGTCACATCGAAACTGTGCAGAGACTGAAAGAAGCTGTGATGTCATTTAGTAAATAAATGTGGGCGGGGCTTGATTTAGTCTGTAAGGAATTGATTGGATGGTTGTGGTTTGCTATTGGCTGATCTCGTGTGAGTGACAGGTTGCTCCGCCCACATCATCAGAGAAGAGACGCTGCAAGAGGAACTTATTCTCATTCAAGATTATTAACACACTAATGATGATGTGCACGGGTAAATCATTTTAATTGCTCTGTTAAATTAGAAATAAGACCACAATTTATTGCATCACTTGATTTTTATATTCCGCAGAAATGAAACATTCCCATATGCTACAAAACTCTCAAGCATTAAGAATGAGCTTTGAGATGGTGATTTTTAAAGGCATGAAAGTCTGATTCTTCTGTGATCATCACGTGTGAGAACATCGAGCTGTCATGTTCGGGGTCAGAGATCTCTGTCAAATCCAAATGTGATTTGTTTTCTTGAAAGGATTTGTCTGTGAAAAGACATTTAAACCCTTGTATGCAAATTGCATCTCTAACAAAATGTTTGTGCATTCACAAATCTAAATGTTTTGTATCTAATCTCTGACGGTCAGGCTTGTTTTTCAATCATAAACATACTAGATTACAGAGGGAAAAACTGTGGCTGAGAATATTAAAATCTCATCAGGATATATGAGGGAAATTGTGTTGTGTTATGTGTGTGTTGGCACATTTTAAGCTCATTATTTGTGGTCATTGATGTAATCTGGTCTGCTTTTTTAAACTCAAACATTATACGGAGACAAAATAATGTGATGTTTTTACATGCCAAAAAAAATTCTATGGCATTTTGGTACAATCATTGTTCCATGGTCTATTGTTTATTTTGTATTGCTCATTCATAAATATAGGATATTATTCAGAATTATTACATGTATGTATAATTATACTGCATATTAGAGTTGTAACCGCCTAATGTTGAATCTATTATTAAAATCTCATTGATATATCCAGTTGAAAACTCTCGCGAGAATGAATACTCGAAGTCTCGTCCTCCAGAGGGCGCGCGGCCGCTCAGAAAGCAAATTTCTGGACGAATTTTGTCTTTTTAGAGGCATTTTACATCTTTTACATATGATACTTTAAAGGATTGGATTCTAACGTAGAAATAGAAACCTAGTCCAAACAATCTCTGTAAAATAATGCTTTAAAACTGGGAAATAATGCAAACGCTGGGAAAAGTAACAGGTATCACGTGACGTGTCGGGTCTCGTTGCCTTGCGCGTGGCTGTGGCGTCAAGCTCTTTTATTTATGATTATCTGTAATTTAAACATCTGCTGGACATCTCTTTTGGTCCTCCTGACCCTTGTAATATTGTTTGCAATGTCTTCAGACGCCGATGAAAAATATGTGTCTGTAGATTTTGAGGTATTCGGGAATGTTCAGGGTGGGTATTTTGACTGTTTTGCAAACTTGGCGACATTAATTCACGCCACGCCTCCAAAAATAGACCAGCATTTTATGTCTTAATATAACATGTTGATTATTCGTTATTACTATATTTTTATTGTATACAAGTAGCTATAGGGCTGCTAAATGAATTACATTTGTAGGTTATATACAGTTGCACGTATTCCAAAAACCTCATAAATGTTTGTCTTTTTTCAGGTGTTTGCTTCAGAATGGTGAGATATTTATGGATAATACAAACTAAGTTTGCTTTACAAAGCTTGCTTATATAACTAAGAATGGCAGAACCTACTAACACTAACCAAAAATAGAAACATTGTATTATTATGTTTTTAGACATGGTAATACTATGATATTCTACTAGAAAATAAGTGATGGCTGTGCAAATAACAAACAAGATCTACTGGATGTAAGTAGTAAATGGATAATAAATGTAAGTGAAATAGGTAAGATATCTGAATATATTTGGTATTTAGTATATATGATTAAGTATATAAGTGCATATATACGAGAATTATGATAAAGTATATAATTGCATATTTATGAGTATGATAAAGTATATAAGTGCATAATATATACGAGAATATATGATAAAGTATATAATTGCATATATATGATAAAGTCTATAAGTGAATATATACGAGAATATTTGATAAAGTACATAATTGCATATATATGATAAAGTCTATAAGTGAATATATATACGAGAATATATGATAAAGTACATAATTGCATATATATGAGTATATATGATATGACAGTGTATAAGTCCATATACACAAGTATTTATGATAAAGTGTATAATTGCATATACAGTATATAAGTATACATAATATGCATGATAAAGTGTATAATTGCATATATACAGTATGATTATATATAATATGTGATAAAGTGTAAATGCATATATATGAGTATATATGATAAAGTGTATAATTGCATTTATACGAGTATATATAATACATATGATAAAGTGTATAAGTGCATATATACGAGTATACAAAGTATATAATTGCATACGAGTATATATGATAAAGCATGGCCAAAGTAATATTTTATTCCTAGTGAATGCATGAACTGATAAAATCTGTCCTTTGAACGCAATGAAATGTATAGCATTTTTCTAATGCATTAATGCAAGATCAAGCCCCTCGTTTCAGCATTCATGTGTTTGACTCTCTGTCTGAATCTCGTTTCTCATCTGTCCTGATTCACGACAGTATACAGAAGAAGAGGGGAAGAATCTGGGCGTCACAGGCTGGGTGAAGAACACTAGACAGGGCACTGTGGTCGGACAGGTGCAGGGACCGCCAGAGAAAGTGAACGAAATGTGAGTATGCAATCATTTATAAATGGCTTGCAGCAATGGAGGAAGCAGGATCTAATTGCAGCAGTCTTTTATGAAACAAAACCAAAACCTTACAAAGAACTCAAGAGCCGAAACAGGAACAGAACAACCAACTTAGTACAATGATAAGAACTGACCAAGAACAAGACAGAACAAAGGGTTTAAATAGGCAGAACTGGAGAGCAAAATAACAACACACACCTGAACTGAACTAGCAAACAATCAAACACTCTAGAAACAATCAGAACTTAACTAATAACAGATCAACTAAACTCAGACCAGAACAGAAATCAAAACTATATGTGCGCCTGTCAACTGTGCTCTGGTGTGCAGTTGCTCTTCTAACCAGCAGGTGGCGCTAGTGTCCCAGTGTTCGAGTCATGGAACAGTCTAGAAACACTGATGGTGGACATGGATTCTCACTGTGCTGTAGTGATGGGAGGTTCGGATCATTTACTGACTCTCTCGTTCGAACAAGAATGAACGAATCTTTTTTTTTTGAGTCATTTCGTTCATTCAAGTGGCTTTATACTTTTAACAGCCAAATTCCCCCGAACACGTCCACCTACGCAATCTTATTCTGACTGAATTATAATGCAGTCAAAAATAATTGATTGGGACCATAAATAATGACTTTACCTTCCGAGTCTTTTGTTCATTTGTCACGTGACAGGTGTTTTTGAAAGAGCCGTCACTACTGTGCTGTAACCTATCATGATAGATGGAGACGACAGAATAGAAAGCTTTTAGTGCGGTGAAAGCTTTTGCAGCCTGTGCTGTATTTTCAGTGTGTGTGTGTATGTGGTCTTCAGTCCCTCGGGTCGGGCGGGACGGGGAGTGATGATGTCATCATGTCAGTCTGGGCGGGGGGGCGGGAGCACAGGGGCGAGGGCTTAATGATATCATCAGTCTCTAATGTGAACCAGACATTATTTGTGCACATTACTGGCGAGGGAGAGCTGAGATTATTGTTTCTGAATGCGTAGAATATCTACATTTATGCATAAATTCGTCAAAAATAATTTAAGCAATTTTTCAAGCAATGTTTTTTTTAAGTCAGTTTAATGACATTTAAAGGTGCTATATGGAACTTTTCTTCTAAAATGAATGCTTTTTTTATTGCCTGTGTGTGAAGGGGTTGTAATCACACATTACAGTGATCCACTTGTCGGGTTTTGCTATTACCTCTGAAGGCCAATATTCATATTTCTATGTGAAGTCTCCGGGTCAGATTTTCTGCATGCGCTCCCGAGCCTCTCTCCTTATATACAGTCTATGCGACGGCACTGCAGCTGACGACATGAGTCTGATAACACCCAAACACTCCTGTCTCCAGCACAACACACACTCCAACACTAACTCCACATAAATATAAAAAACAAAACAAAAATGTATCTGCTGAAGCTCGTCAGGGCAAACGTGAATCTGATCGACTCAGGACGAAAACACGGATCAACATCGGCAGAGCTTTTGAATTATTAGTAAACTCAAATGAAATAGCAAGGTAAACTACATGAGACATGGAATGAATACAAAAGACTGTTCCAGGATAAGAAAAGGTGCTTTAGGATACTTGTTTTATGTACTAGATCTACGTTATAGATCGTTACGCTATAACGTAATTCATCCCACTATCATATTGTTTATAATAAACATTTCCAGACACGTTCAGTACAGTAATGTTACTTCCTACTGTCTTACTGTTACACTGACATTGTTCAGTCTAGTTCACTAACCGTTTTCGTTATCATTATTATACATTCACCTATGTTGACATTGTTGATTGTGAAAGATACACGAATAGTTAGTGAAATGCCGTAGGCTATGTTAGATAACATCACATGTCGGCTAAATGCAGTCAATGTAACGTTATCATGGTACGAGCATGGAGCATTAGTTCAACCTCAAGCTAATAAAAGTAGCCTATTATTGTAACGTTGCAGTGGGAGTTTACATGAGTTTCCAGCATGTTGTGTGATGCTTTCTCCAGTGTGTTGAAAGTCTCCGTGTGGCCGGTAGTGAATGCTCGCTCCTGAGATCGCACACGCACACGAGCACGAGCGCTCTTGTTGCAATCTGAAACATCACCACTAGAGGCCGCTAAAAGTTCCATAGAGCACCTTTAAGTTGAAATGACCTAAAGTTTTTTTGTTTGTTTTTTATTTATTTCAAGCAAAGAGTGTAACAACAGAAAAGATATACAATAGTAATAATAATAGCTTACAGATTATGAAAACTTTTTCACAATATTCTAATTTTGACTTTGGGGTTTTCATAAGCTGTAAGCCATAATCATCAACATTATAACAAATAAAGGCTTGAAATATCTCACTTTGCTTGTAATGAGTCTATATAATATACTAGTTCCACCTTTTAAGTTGAATTACTGAAATAAATGAACTTTTGCACGATATTCAAATTTTTCGAGTTTCACCTGTAGATTTTTACAATGCTTTAACTCGTCAAAATAAGCTAAGCAATTTTCAACTTTTTTTAAGTTATACAAGATTCGACTCATTTTTTTAAAGTGAGTTTAATGCCATTTAAGTTGAAATGACTTGACCAAGTCTATTGTACTTTTTTTTTTTAGTGTATTAATTTAAAAAAAAAAGTGAATTAAAATGATGCTAAAATATTAATATAAATATTACATGGAAACCTTGTTGCCTTGGCGACTACCTGAAATTACAGTAGGTTTTATCTATGACTGTAGTTTTTCAAAAGCAGTTTTTGTCTGAGTTAGCAAACGCAGGCGATGCGACTGTACACAGATCAAGCTGACAGTAATGCTGTGATCACACACACACACACACACACACACACACACACACACACACACT